AAATGTTTAAGAAGTTTTACAGGTACACGTGATTGAAAATTGTTTACAGATATGCAATCACATAATATATCAATTGCTTTTTTCAAAGGTACATTTGTAAACAAGGAATTGACATCAAATGAACACATTGTTTTTTCTTTGATATTAATATCACTTAAATGATCAAACAGTTCAAAGGAATCCTTTAGAGAATACTTACATAGATGTCTTCGAATAGGGTCCAACAACTTTGTTAACCATTTAGCCAGATTATGTGTAGGTGATCTGCACATTGATAGAATTGGACGTAATGGGACATTAGGTTTGTGAATTTTAGGTAGTCCATATAAATGAGGGTAGTCGGAACCCATAGGTTTTAGAAAATTAAATTCCTCTTTATTAATAATATTCACGAGTAGCAATTTTTCTAGGTCTGAATCTACTCTTCCTTCTAGTTTGTTAATACCTTCAAATTCAACATCAGGCATAAATTTACTTTCATCACTAAGGATGGATAACATCTTATTTTTATATTCACATTTATTCATGATAACTAAGCCTGACCCTTTATCAGGTTTTAACAAGATAATATCAGAGTTTGTTCGTAGTTTTTTTAATGATTTAAAATACTGAGAAGTTAATATGCTTCTCTGCTTTGGTCCAACATTATGAAATTGGTGCGCTATATCCACCAGTTTAGCTTTACAACAGCTTTGATTATTTAAAGACATAGGGGTTAGAGTACTCAGTTGATCATATAGATTTTCAAATTGGGCATTTATTTCCAATTAAGACATTTGCATTATAGGGACTGAGAAATTCAAACCAAGAGAAAGTGCTTTCTTTTCATTAGCAGATAATACAATGGAAGATAAATTAGTGACATACTTTTCAGGATTTACTGGGAATAACTTAGCTTGATTAGTAATAATACAAGATTTTTCGAGCTTTTTACTGATCCTTTCCTTTGTTTTCAAAATGACACTACTGCAAAAGTTGGTGAATTTAATATGGCAGACTATAGATATTTCATTTAATATAGGCAGTGCTTGAGTGTGTAATTCAATTAAATTGATTTCGACATCCGAATAAGATTTGAAATATTTGGTTGTATTTTACTTGAACGTAAATTCTAGTATAGTTGATTTGGGAATATGTGACTCGACAAACAAGATTTATAGAAGTTCAGTTTCACGCGTTCCGATACCATTTTACATTTAAGGTTGACAAGTTCATCTAACCTTTTAATAGTATGTGCAGGGAGTCTTCTTTTAGAAATTTAAAACAATTAGTCAATTTGATAAATTTCGATATTGATATTATAAATGCACTTAACAAGTATATGTATGAACAGATTGTTTGAAATGTGTTGCGCTAATATATCACATAGTTCTGATAATCTTCGTCTTCCAATATCATTATCGAAATTTATCAAAAGGACTAATTGTTTTATCCATTTTGTCCGTTTTCAGTGTGGTTTTCAGTGTGTATTTTTACGGTCTTAGGCTTTTGCAAGCATCCATAACATAGTTTGCTTCAACATAGTCATGAAAAACTCATGCAAACGTCCGGGATACCGTTTTGCTGTTACAACTGGCATGCAGTGGGACAACTGCAAAGGTTGGTTCCACGAACCGTGCACAGATCTGATGGCAACTGCTTACAATAGACTCAGCAAGTCGGACCAAAAGCAGGCATGTGTCACGTGCAGCACGGACGCTGTACTCTAGCTGAGTAACATCATCGTCTTACAGACAGTTCGTGACGATTCTCTCATAATCATGAATCACATTGACAATCCTGACCTTCCCCTCAGTCCGCAGGACAAAAATGATAGGATTCTCTGGGGTGGATTGAACGAGAAGCTCGAACTTCCTAGAATAGAGCCTCTGATGGTCACACGGCTCACTCGGGGAAAGGATTCTAAGCATCTAAGTTACTCGAGGCTTCTTCGAGTAACAATTAAGAATGCTACCGACGTAGAGGACGTCTTGCTAGCCAGTCACTTGCTGAAATCCGACGGGAATGTAAGAATATTGCCCGACATATCGTACTCTGAGCGCAATATCATACGGAACACCCCTAAAGAATCTCGCGAGGGGTCTTTCCGCGGAAGAAACATAATTGTGCAAGTTATGCCGAAAAATACGAACCCTACTCAATCAAACTCTGGCATCAGGGAATGGAAATTCACCAAACAGTCCTTGAGGCTCAAAAACATACTAACTCAGCATGTGACGAGACTAGCCAAGAAGGACGGTGATCTTAGACCCCGTCTAATGAAGATAACCTTCCCATCCTCCCACATGGCGGTTGCAACTCTGGAAGCATTTCGTGCAAACGGATGTCGATTGCCACCTGGAATCCACATGCATCCGGATAAGACATACGAAGCTAGGACCAAACACAAAGGCAAGTTGGTACTGACCATTCCACTTGTGGACTGTCTAGATGATAAAAAAACGTGTAAATGAAAGGGCCTACCACCTCGACAAACCTCATGTAGGTGGGCTACATGTCCATTCACGTATGGCTCATACAGACAAACAGGACGAAGCTCACGCGTTCCAAATAGAAAGCATAGGCTGCTTATACATGAACCCCGCGAGTCTACCAAACAAATTGAATGAATTACGTGAACTTAACAACGCTAAGAAGGCCCATCTGATATGAATATCTGAAACCTGGATATCTTCTCAGTTCTCGGACCAAGAGTTAGCATTACCTGGGATGTCTTTGTTCCGCAACGACAGAAAATAAGGAATTGGGGGCGGAGTAGCCGTATACATACGTTCTTGCTTGGAGGTGCACCAAGTTCATAACCTCGAGTTTAACAATCTTGAGGAATCCATATGGTACTCTGTAAGATTGTCTAGTACTTCGAGGTCTAGTCGGAGTCATTTACAAGAAGCCAACTGCCGACATCGAGTACGATAGTTGTATGCTGGGAGGACTATCCCGCTCTACTCGTCTCGGTTTCACACACTTCCTGATTCTAGGGGACTAAGGTATCCCACCAATAACTTGCGTTGGAATTTTAAACGGTTGAAAGTGCCAATTCTACACAACTATCTACAACAGGTGGTTTGGGATGTTCACACTCAACTCGATGTGGACGGTCATCGGGACTTCTTACTGCATACACCCTTATGTGCTACAAACCGTTCAGTTTCTCAAACGGTTCCCAAAAGCTGCAAGCCACCTACAATAATCAAGAGCCGTACCCTTCGCCTGCTAAGTCGCAAAAGGCACTGTTGAGTGGAATACAAACGAACTGACAACGACGGAGCGTACAGGCAATTTAAACATGTAAGGAACATATGAACGAAAGCTATAAAAGAGGACAGGCTTTAGTATCAGACAAAGCTTATGGACAAATTTGTCTCTAATCCTAAAAGCTTATTCTGTTATGCAGCCTTTCTTCGTCAAGCCAAAACTGGAGTTTCCCAACTGCTAGGTCTTAACGGCCCGACCAACAACGATGGCGATGCCGCTAACCTTCTGGCTGAACATTACTCTCAGACATTTCAACCGATCCACATCAACTTTGCTGATGACAGTTTCATATGCAATTCTACAGGACTTACCGAAGTGAACCCAAGCTCTGACTTGGTGTTCCGGAAATTGCAGCACTTAGGATTAGACACTTCTCCTGGCCCGGATATGGTCCACTCTGCCATACTGAGGGAAGCAGCCTCAATCCTGGCAATTCCGCTTAGCGTGATGTTCTCAAACTCGCTAAGCCGAGGCAAACTACCGGAAACTTGGAAGTTGGCTCACATCACACCAATTTACAAAGGTGGTCGACGCAATGAACCTTCAAGTTATCGGCCGGAGGCTCTTCTTTCATTACCTCCAAAACTCCAGAGTCCCTGATATGCGATTGTTTAAACGACTATGATGTTAAACTTTGGAGAGAGATACGCAATTAAAACGATATACATGCACTTCGGGGGGATCTGACTCGACTCCAAAGTTGGGCAGATAATATTGGACTTAATTTTAACACTTCAAAGTGTAAAGTAGTTCATCTGTGACATGTCGCAGACTGCAGTTATAACTTAGGAAACTCGTCTCTAGTAGTATCCCAAGTCGAAAAAGATTTAGGATTCCTGGTGCCCCATGATTTAAAGTCTTACGCTAACTGTGATAAAAATGCCTTCCGAGCAAACCCTGCACTGGTAACGTTGAAGCGCATTTTTGGAAAGTTCGACGAAAGAACTTTACATATAATCTTCAACAGTTTTATCCGTCCCCATTTAGAGTACGGAAACATAGTATTTCGTCCCTCACTCCAAAAGGATAACGATATTTTGGAGCGTATCCAACGGCGAGCCACGAAATCAGTTCGAGGACTCAAATCTAAGCCTTACGAAGGGCGCCTCCATTCAATAGACCTTTACCCATTAGAGGTGATCTATTAATGGCTTATAATATTCTCAACACTTCTGGACATCCTCTTAAGCACCTACTTAAGCTTAGTTCGAACACTAACCTTAGGGGTAACACTTAGAAACTGGAGACTAAACATAGCAAAAGGGAATGTAGACATAAATTCTTTTCTTTAAGAGTTGTCAAAAGCTGGAACTCGCTGCCGGCCGAGCTAGTCCAAGCGACTTCTAAGGAGTCCTTTAAGAGGCAACTTGACCTATTCTTAAGGACCAAGGACAGCATCATACAATGATTTACCAATTTCTTTTTCCTCTTTTATTGTTAACATATCCAGGTTTCTGCCTGGAGGATTTGGTGATCCCCTGCTACTAGACACGGAAGCGTGTAAGGCGAAAGCTTCTTCTATTCCGTCCACAAACATTTGAAGAAAGGCGGTTTAATTAGACGGCGCGTTACACTCTTACTCGTGATGTCATCGGTTCTAAAGAACAAGATTTTGAAACCATTTCTTAAGTAAGCATTGTATGTATTTAATGCTCACTTTGGTTCATCTGCCAAAACATATTAAAAGATAAACGACCTCTTGATCATAATATGATCAATAGACATATACATGGATTTATAATTAACGATGAAATGTATGACTTTTTCCATCAAATTCCTGTCTATGTTTTCTGCTATAGGTTTTGTTGTTTTGTTATCGAGCGTTTCATGTGAAATTCTAAGTAAATCTTTTTACTTCAACGTAGGTAGAGGTTCTTGTGTTTGCGTAAGCGCTTCTGTGTGAAGTATAGCAGTAAGCCACATTTCAGCTTATATCTTTATTTTTACGGCTAGATCAGTAGATCCGGTTTATATGATGAATTGAGTGAGTGTCTTTTCGTTTTCGCTCCCTTACCTGACCTGCTGAATCTGATTTAATGTCAGTGACTTCAACCCCTTATATATGTTGCTGCGCAACGACTCCTGACATGATATGTGCTGTTTTCTCAACTTGAAACCATATTTTCTTTAGATGGCTGTGTCTTGTACATTCATGCTAATATCTACTTGGGGATACGGTCCTTCCTGTGGATCTCAAAAGTGTCACAAGAAAGGGTAGGACTCTAATTTATGGACGAGCCAATCAGAAGCGTCTAAGGAGTTTCAAGGTCACGGCGCTAAGTTCAATGCCAGATGCTCACATTCGATCGTTTTACAGCAGATTTTAGAGAATGGGTGATCGACCTTAGAACGATTTTTTTTAGCCAAATGGATGAAAAGCTTCCGCGTTAAAATCTGAGTTCTGTTGTCCTATACCTGATTGGTTCGTCCACAGAATTATATTCTCGCCGTTTTCTTTGTTATAGCGCTCCCTTATCAGGTTTTGTACAAAATCCATTGTGAACCCGTCGTACGTTAGCATTAAGCACTGAAGTTGGCGCCATAACCTTGAAATCCTTCCAACGATTCTGATTGGCTCGTCCATAAATTCGAGTTAGTGACACTTTAATTCATGGACGATTTTGAGCGACACTAAGAAAGATTTTGAGAATGTCCACCTACATACTACGGCTAAATGAGGGTTATAAACTAGTATGAGGAATTGAGAATAATATACAGTTGATAGGTAGGGTTACGAGTTAGATCTAGGGTTTTCATCACGAAATGACATCAGTTACTTTGTCATCCTTACCTAGTACCCGTTTCCTAACAACTGTATTACTTACTCGATGGTCCCAGGATATACAAGCAATGTTTCGAAGACATCTATGATCAAATACTAGTAACCTACGAATATCCTCTACTCTTACTGGCCATGTTTCATTGACATAAAGTAGGAAGGAACGAACTACTGCACAGTAAACACGTCCTTTGGTTGATAGACGGATATCTCTCCTACGCCATAAGTGACGCAAGTTGGAAAAAGCTAGTCGAGTTTTCTGTATCTGTGCTGAGATTTCGTCACATACCAGACCACAAGGGCTGATGAGGCTCCCAAAATAAGTGAAGCGGTCGACACGCTCAACTACTTCACTCCCTATCACTAGTTCGAGTGTCGATGCAACCCAATCCTGAAGCAACATTTTGCATTTCGAGGGGAGAATCGCATCCGGAACATGCTTGCATTGTTGCTTAGAGTGGTCAGAAGACTGCATTTTGTCAGCGTTTCCACCAAATAGAACGACGTCATCGGCATATTCTAAGTCAACAAGTGAATCTCCCGGTAGAAGTCTAACCCCTCGAAATTTAGGTGAGGAAAGTGTTATCTCTAAAAGCACGTCAACGACAAAGTTGAACAAGAATGGAGAGAGTGAACAGCCCTGGAGAACACCACTTGAGGTAATCAATTCTGATGACAGTTCGCCATAAGCTCTCACTCGACCAGTTGTGTTCGAGTAGAGAGCTTTTACAAGGTTAATGTGCTTTTTTGGTACTCCTTTCAGTGACAAACACTGCCATAGAACCTCACGATCAACAGAGTCGAATGCCTCCTTAAGGTCGAGAAATACTATGATTGTGGGGCATCTGAATGTGTGTCTATGTTCTAGGACCTGATGTAGTGTGAATATCTGGTCTATACAGCCACGTCCAGGTCGAAAACCAGCCTGGTTTCTTCTAGTCCGCTCTTCACGAGCTTTAGTTAGGCGTCGAAGTATTATTGAAGCTAATATTTTAGACACCATATTAGTCAGACTGATTCCTGTGTGATTGTCACAAGAGGACTTTTGTCCTTTCTTATAGACTGGCACAATCAGTGATTGAGACCAGTCAGATGGGATTGCGTCCGGTTCCAAAATTCTACCTAAGACCTCAGTTAATCTCACTGCTAATACTGGACCACCATCCTTAAAAATCTCAGGAGTAAACCTGTCAGGGTCTGCTGCTTTCCCTCGCTTCAGATTTCCTGTAGCTTTCTCAACTTCGTAAAGAGTCGGAGGATTTATATTAACTTTCCATCCAGGTCAACTGGAGATCGTGGGAAACCGAAGTGTGGCTAAAAGCCAGTTGAACTGATCCCTAAAGTGTTCTGCCCATCGATCCAATCTCCTGGATTGAGAATGTATAATATGTCCATCTTTTTCTGAGATAGTTTCGATAACAGTCAGGTTCCTAATACCGGTTTCCTTAATAAGTCTGAACAGTTGTCTGCTATTACCTATTGCCGCTGCCTTTTCCATCTCTCTTGCTTTCGCTATCCACCACTGTTCGCGATCATTGCGTAGGCTTCTTGTCAGCTTGTGCTTAAGCTGACTCCGCTCTTCGTTATGTTCAGAGCCAGATGGAATGAGTTTTCGAGCATCTATCAGTGCGGTAGCTGCTGCTGAGATTCAGTGTTGCTCCCTAACCTTACGCTTTACCGTACTAGCAGATATCACTGCGGTTTCCACAGCTCTTCGGATATCATTCCATGCTGCCTCGGGGTGGGCATCACCTACATGGCTGCCTGTTTTTCTAGTGGATCCTGAAATATACTCTTAGCTTGACTATCATTAAGTAGGGCCCTAAGAGGTTTCCTTGCAGCATCTTTCTTACGTCCAGTAAGACGCAAGCAAATACGCGCTCGCACTAGAGCATGATCTGAATCTAAGCATATGCTCCAGAATGAGCGACAGTCTTCTATTGAGCCCCTCCATCGGTGGCTGATAGCGATGTGATCTATTTGGGTCCAACGTTGGGACGATTTAGGGGGTCGCCATGTTAAAAGATGTTTTTCCTCATGCTTAAAGTTAGTAATTGCAAGAAACAGGCGGTTATCTAAGCATAGCTGTAATAGACGGTCGCCATTGTCTGTTCTTTGAGCCACGACACCATAAGATCCACCCAGGTGTCTTTCCCTTTCGCTTAGTTTACCTACTTGAGCATTAAAGTCACCAGCCACTATTACTACATCAGAGCGCCTAGCTTTTCGGAGGTCGGAAAGCTTTCTGTAAAATTCATCTTTTACATCATCTGAGCTGCAGTCAGTGGGAGAATAGGCAGAGACGACAAAGAGGCAACGACGAGTGTGCCTACCTTTCCGAGTCCTTACTGTTCCGTCTAGTCGTACAGCGCACAAACGACTGTCTACTGGGATCCAGTCTAAGAGAGCTATTTCTGCCCTAGGACTCGATGCTATGCCTACGCCGGCGAGGCCACGGGAAGCAGCATCAGGGCTTCCAGATACACGAAGTGTGAATCGAGTTGGCTCTCTATTTTGACATGGTGATGTCAATTGAATGACGCTACTCGGATCCTGTATGAGCGTTTTGGAGGCACAGCACATATCGATGGTGAGAAATTCTAAAGTCCTAGCTAAGGAAGCTTGTTGTCCTATTTGACACAGTGTTCGGACGTTATAAGCTCTAACATGGAGTTTAGAGCGTGATTTCAGGAGACCAAGAATAACGTTCCGCGTACTCCAATCGTTTTCCCTAGCGGTACGAGATGATAAAGGGATGTGATAAAGGTTAGTCATGGAGATAAGAGTAGTATTAGGAAGTGTAGGAAGGATTTGAATGTGACCAACTTGGTCTCGTGTGCTGTTACGGGTATGAGGGCTGGTGTCACTTTCCGGCTGCTCACACCGTGGAAGGATATTTCTTAAGGAACCTGTAAAGGAATTCGGATTAATGTCGGCCTTAACGACCTGGGAGCGTGACCGCAGAGCCCAAGGGACAACTGCTTGAGGCCGGTCGCGCACGGCCTTTTCGTGGAAGGTTTTCAATGTGTTAGCTCCGTTCTTCAAAGGGCCTTACCACCGGAAACGGAAATCCGTGAGGTAAGGTGAGGTGTGACATTTTTAGGGTCAACCTTTTCTAACCCCACCCCTCCTTGTGGGAAGGCAGCACCGCTGTCAAGCTGGTTGTCTGAAGGAAACACCTTACTGCTGTCACACCCCTCTACAGTCAGCAGTACGACTTCGCCCTCAGACCTTGAGTTGCTGCTTTTAGTTTTACCGTTCTCCAATCGACCTGCCTGGCATTGCCAAACCTACAGGAACATATGTTCCAGCCAATATAGCTCGGTTGGGCCATCACGATAGGCAAGCCCGACCACCGCGTCAAGGTAGCAGCTACGATTAACTGAACTGATATAAGTTCAGTTAATCAGAATAAAATATCTCTTCCTAATTCAACTGTTTACGTAATTTTTTTTAGAGCATAACACTTAGCAATCAAAAACAAAGTATTACTACCTTTCATACCTCTTCTTCAAGAACCCTTGCACTTACTGGTGACTTTAATCAAGATTTAGCGGTCTCACATATTACACTGTTGTATGGCTTTCGTAACCTTTATTCAACCTGATTTCGTGCCTACCAGTGTAGCGTATTGGCGTAATGGGTAGATAGAAATGCGTAATACATACCGTAGCCACCTCAGTCGATTAAGTTTCACATCCTTATCGATTTGATTCACTATCCCTGTTTGACATCCTAGTCTTACATCCCGATTACACACTCTAATCCCATTTTACACAGGCAATGCTCTGACAATATTTTTGGTCACAAACTAGGAGTTTACTCAGAGTATTTTTACTTTATAATCTCTGTTTCATATGCAATAAGGTATTTCATTTGCAACACAAGTTAGCAGTGAATTTCTTTCTCTTGTGTTCGCTTCTTCCAGTATTCTTCTTATAACACCAATGCTCAGTTGCTAAAAATTCGTTTTATTCAACATAATTAGGTATACATATAGGCTTTCAGAAATCTCTTTCTTACCACCATACTATTGTTCCATATCTTTTGAAATGCTTAAAGCTTGACAGCCAAAATCTTTACATGTTCGGAACAGATCATTCTTTGCACAAGCCACATTGAACTTATGTTTGTATTGACTTCATAAAAAAACCATATGGGAACCCGTTCGCTAGCGAGATTTAGATTGGATTAAAGCCTGTTCC